TCTTTCCAGAGAATTTTCTAGAGAATACCCAGTTGAGAGTGTATAAAATGTGTTTCAATACCTGACAATCACACTTCTAATTAGGCTCTTTTTTCTAACATTTTAAAGTTAAATCTGGTTGAAATGCAAATTGAAACTAGACAGAGAGAACGTTTCATGGCTCGGACTGGCAAAATTCCAAAGCTTGTCAACACGTCCTGCGGGACAGGCCGTGGGCTAATTAGCACACTCAGACACTGCCGGTAGAAATGCAAACCGGTACAAGTCCCGGGGAACAGAATCAGCGAGAACAAGCCATACCCCAGGGAACGGCGGGCCGTTTGGCCTAGCAGTGAATGTGGCCGCACGCATACCAGCTCCAGTTCCCGAGTCCAGCTTGCCTACTAGAGCACACCCCCGGGGCGGCAGTGATGGGGCCAGTAGGTGGGTTCCAGGCACCACGTCGGAGACCGGCAGAGCGTTTGGGCTGGCCCCATGGTCACTGCAGCTGTCTGGGGGAGTGAGCCAGTGGGTGGAGGGAATCTCTCTCTCTGCCTCTCAAACAACAGAAAACCAGTATAAGTACACGTGTGAGTCAAAGTCGAATTGAAACAGGGATTTCACCCTTCAGCTCAGCAATTTCATGTCCTGGAATTTAAAGGTTCTCCTCCAGCAGTATGAAAAGAAATATGCACAGATGATTGACTGCGGTATTGCTTTGTTTATTCTCTTTCTTCTAGTTCTTCTTTTCTTGTCGACAGGCAGAGTGGACAGTGAGAGAGAGAGAGACAGAGAGAAAGGTCTTCCTTTGCCGTTGGTTCACCCTCCAATGGCCGCCGCGGCCGGCGCACCGCGCTGATCCGATGGCAGGAGCCAGGAGCCAGGTGCTTTTCCTGGTCTCCCATGGGGTGCAGGGCCCAAGAACCTGGGCCATCCTCCACTGCACTCCCTGGCCACAGCAGAGGGCTGGCCTGGAAGAGGGGCAACCGGGACAGAATCCGGCGCCCCGACCGGGACTAGAACCCGGTGTGCCGGCGCCGCTAGGCGGAGGATTAGCCTAGTGAGCCGCGGCGCCGGCCTAAATACTGACGGAGTTTGTGGATTCAGAAGGCTTCCATAGCCTAGGCTATTGCTTTGTAATCACAAAATTTCAGAAATACCTAAGCGTCCAAAGGAAGAGCACGGGTGAAGAGGCCAGGACGCAGCTACACGGTGGAGGACGGGGCGGCAGTGAAGACGACGAGGTCGGCTTCACAACCCACGTGGAGCAGCTTCCAGAGTTCAAGTGAAAGCAGCAAAGTACAGAAGGGGATGCTGAGGACACTTCCTTCGGTGTGAGGAAAGGGCTAAAGGAGAGCCGTCCATGTCGTTACGAGGGAAACAGGGAGGACAAGCAGCGGCGTCTTCCCTACCAGCAGCGGGAAGGAATCATGTTCAAGTGATACACTTAGAGAGTATACTTCTCTAAGTATAGCCTTCTGCGTCGCTGTGATTTGTGAAAGTATACTAATGTCCCACACACCCAAAAGTCAATCAACAAGGATGGGGGCGGAGCTAAAACGGAAAGCAAAATTTAAAAATCTCAACGATTGGCAATGAACAGCGTAATCACATGGCAAGCAGGCCACAATGTGGGAGACTGATTTAAACATTTTATTTATTTTTTTACAGGCAGAGTTAGACAGTGAGAGAGAGACAGAGAGAAAGGTCTTCCTTTTTCCATTGGTTCACTCCCCAAATGGCCGCTACGGCCGGCGCTTTGCACTGATCCGAAGCCAGGAGCCAGGTGCTTCCTCCTGGTCTCCTATGCAGGTGCAGGGCCTAAGCACTTGGGCCATCCTCCACTGCCTTCCTGGGCCACAGCAGAGAGCTGGACTGGAAAGAGGGGCAGCCAGGACTAGAACCTGGCACCCATATGGGATGCCGGCGCCTCAGGCGGAGATTAACCAAGTGAGCCACGGCACCGGCCCCTAAACAATTTATTTTTTAAAAAAGGATTTATTTATTTGAAAAGCAGAGTTACAGAGATGGAGAGACAGAAACACAGAGACAGAGAGAGGTCTTCCATCTGCTGGTTCACTCCCCAAATGGCCACAACAACCGGGGCTTCTTGTGTTTCTTCTGGTAAAGACAGATGGGTAGGGGCGGCGCCATGGTGTAGCAGTTAAAGCTGCTGCCTGCGGTGCCAGCATCCCATACGGGCACTGGCTTGAGTCCCAGCTGCTCCACTTCCAGTCCAGCTCCCTGCTAATGCTCCTGGGAAAGCAGTGCGAGATGGCCCATGTCTTTGGGCCCATGCACCTACATTGGAGACCCAGAGGCAGCTCCTGGCTCCTAGCTTCGGATTGGCCCAGCTCCAGCCATCAGGGCCATTTTGGGGATGAACCAGCAGATGGAAGATTTCTCTGGCACTCCCTCTCTCTCTCTGTAACTCTGCCTTTCAAGTAAATAAATAAACCTTAAAAAAGGGGGGGGGGGGCAGATATAACAGACACCAGAACAGCTAGGGGATACGGAAGGAACCAAAATGAGCACAAAATAGTGAAGGGCTGAGAATAAAGAAGTCAGAGCGCAGACAGCCGGGTACTGCCTGGGAAGAGGTCTGGAGAGGTATGCACAGAGCTTCAGGACAGAGATCTGATGGAAGGGAGGAAGAAAATGATTCAACAATGGAGGGCTACTGGGAGCTCAGTACCAGGAATAAAAGACCGATGACTGGACCCATCATTGATACCTCTCAGAATTATCTGAGAAGAAGAAAAACCCTAAATCTTTCAGGGCTTAAAAGACAGTTCACATCTGTATACATGAATGTGAACAAAGGCGATGAAGAAATGCTTTAAATGAGCAGTTGTTTCCGAGCTCTTCTAGATGGTTCATGTAAGTAGAATCACACAATATGTGTCCATTTGTGTCTGAGTTATTTCACTTAGCATAACGTCACGATTCAGAACATCGTTCCTTTTTTGTTTGTTGTGTTGCAAAGATTTGTTTATTTGGAAGGCAGTATTACGGGAGGTGGGGTGGGGTGGGGGGAGATCTTCCATCTGCTGCTTCACTCTCTACATGGCCACATCAGCCAGGCTGAGGCTGGAGGTCAGGAATGCCATTCCAGTCTTCCACGTGGGTGGCAGGGACCCAAGTTCTTGTGCCATCATCCACTGCCTTCCCAAGCGCACTAGCAGGGTGCTGGAACGGCAACAGCACAGCCAGGACTCAAACCACTGCTCTGATACGGGAGCCGGCATCGCAAGTGGCAGCTTAACCTGCAGCACCACGACGCTGGCCCCCATGTCCTGTTTTCTTGGTCAGTGCTTTAGGATCCTCGACACAAAGTGTCCACTCTCCTAGGTCTACACAGGTTGCACATGGGCAATTCTTGCGTGTTTCAGCCGAACCCTAAAGCTTCATGAAGGTTAACGCCATCAGGCCAGGGCCAGGCCCCAGGGATCTTCCTTTATAAACTGGAAGTTAAAATTTTCTCCCTTGAATAATCAGTGAATGCATGGACTTCACAACACTTCCACCTGCGGGCTCTCGGGCCATGTTTTCCAAAGCAGAGACCCAGCAGTGCAAACCCTGGTTCTAATCCGGGCTCTGCCCTGGGTCCTTGGCAAATGTCAGCCTTCCCCTCACCTGAAAGGGGAGGCACACACACCAACCCCGCCCCACACCCCGAGTCTGGGACCTGCCGCCGCCATGGGGGTCACCTCAGGGATCTTGTCCCTGGCTGCAAGGTGGCCCATCAGAAATCTCACTGATGTCCTCGCTGGAACTGTCCCACCTCAAGCCACCCATCCCATCCCTACCTCCTGAAGGCAGGAGAAACCCTCTTCCGGTCCAAGACTTTGAGTTCTGGATGTTCCTTTAAACAAAAATAGTCCAAACCTGCTCCTAAGCCCGCAGCCTGAGCACTCAAAAGAATGGCCACGAAAAGGCAGACCAGAGCTCGGACCCCCTTCCCATTGCTGGTGGCCCCGATACAAAGCGTTTCCCAGGCAGGGCGCCTGCAGACCCCAGGGGAGAAGCTGCAGGCAGAGATGGGCCCGTGGCCATGCACTGGGCCTGCAGGCGCCCTGCTCTGCTTTTGCAGTGGCCAGTGTTGAGTCTTCACATAAAATGGAGGCAAACAGGAAAACCTCCAGCTCATGAGGACGTTAGATTTGCGCGTGCTGAGTGGTGCCGGCTGCAAGCCTATTTCCTCAAGACAGAATCTGGTCAACACTTGCCAGGGTTCAGATTCCTGGAACGTGGACCCAGAGTCTACAGAGCAGGGAAGCACTGCCCAGGCACAGAGACCGTGGCCACACCTGCAAACCCACAGGGGAACCAGTTTAAAAATTCCTCCACATTTAAACACAAACACTCGCTCAGCTGCGGCAGTGATGATCAAGTTGCGCAAACCAACCCACACATTCCAAGTTCTGGTATTAAAAGGCTTTTCTTAGATAATCTGAAAAATACTGAAACCTACACGCTCCATCCTAAGGTCTCAGCTACACCAACTCACATTTATAAATAAGTCACAGGGAAACACTGAATTGTGTTTACCAGGAATTCAGACCACAAAAGCTCACTAACGTGAAGTTCCATCTTAGGCAAACGACGCTGACCAGATCCACTCAACATGGCAACCTCTCCGAATAAAGCCACGTGATCTCGGGCAGCATCGGGTCTGACAGGCCTGTCTGCCCGCGATGCCCGCTCTCCCGCCGGTGTCGACCTGGGTGTCTGGGGGTGGGGGTGGCGGGCATGAGCCACCAATGGGGCACTTCCGTTCCGCCCTCAAGCCCAAGGCCAGGCTAGGCTGGCGCTGGCTGAGATGCGGGGGTATGGTGCATTGCACCGGCACTCCCTCTCATCCCCCAAACCCAGGCAAGAGGTTCTTAAGTGACAGCAAAGGTTCGAGCCGCACACTGCGTTGTCCCTAAAGCGCAGCCGGTCGGTCACTGGAGAAGCCAGATCCCCTACCCCTACCCCACCCCCGAAGGGCTGGGCTCAACCGGGGCGCCACCCCCCGGCTAGGGAATCTCCTCCCTGCACAGGGAGCACTGCAAGGGTGGCGCAGACCCATAGTAGACGTGGGAGAGGCGCAGCCGCACCTCCTAGTGGCGCCGGCGGCCCCCGCGCGCCAGCGTTTGGTGCTTCTCCAGCCTGTTGGCCACGCTTTGCCTGTGCGTCACTAGGTAGCGCGACTTGTACTCGGATCGTGTTCGCGTGGTACGTCCACGGGCGCCAGCCACGCGCCCTGAGACCAATCATCGCTGTGCCGGGCGATTAGCTACATGCAGCGGAGGCGCAGGTAGCGCACCAGGTCGGCCGAGAGCACGTAACCACCTCTCAGCGCGTAGGGCACGAAGCAGTCGCAGAGCCTCCAGAGGCCCCCGGGTTTGACGCGGCCATGGCCGGAGTAAAGCCCCAGTAAAGGCGGCGGCGGTGCGCAGCTCGGCCAGGCGCGCAGAGCCGTCACTCGCCTCGAGCACGAATTCGTCTAGGCAGGGCAGCATGGCAGCACCTTGGCGGCGCGGGCAGCAACGACACGTCCCCGTGCTCCGCCTGCTGCCACTCCAGCGCGCGCAGCTCTTCGGCGCCCAGTCGGCGTGCGTCCACGGCGAAGTCCTTGCTCACGCTCACGCCGACGCCCAGCGCCGCGCGACGCCGCCGAGCGCGCCGAGGCGGCTTCCTGGAGCACTGCCCATCATTTTCTTTTAAAGGCTGAGTTATATTCCATTGTGTGGGTATACCATGTTTTGTCGATCCGTCCTCTGTTGATGGACATTGAGTTATTTTCACCCTTTGGGTATCGTAAACAGTGCTGCAATGAACATTGCCAAACAAGTGGCTGAGTCCCTGTCTTCAGTTCTTTTGGGTAGAAACCCAGCGGACTTGACCATTTTCTGTTCATTTTTGTGCTTTCCATATCCCCTAGATATTCTGGTATTCAGTTACATCTTTTCTCTCTTCCCTTGGTGCTCTCTCATCACCTTATCCCCCACTGAGGGCTTCTCTAAATACCTATGGGGTGGTCCACAGAGACCCAATATACATAAATTCAACTATCAAAAAAAGAGCTCAGAAACAAAACTAATGAAAAATACAAAAATATTAATATACACTACAAATTTATGAGCAGTGGGATACTGGATGAATTTTTATCCCTTTTACATAGTATTCTATGTACTTTCTTAAAGAACAAAATTTTAACAAATTGAATTCCAAAGATTAGCAATTCATGAACCAGGCAACGTCTAATCTACAAAATAGAAAAGAGCTCCAATGAAATAAACAGAGTGGGCAGAAAAAGCAAACAGAGAAAGCAGGAAAAAAGAATAAATAGTGGATTGGTCATTTCAAGGTTACTTTATAGTGATGTCAGCAAAATCTCATAATAAAATAAATACATATTTAAAAACAACAACAAACAACAGGAAAGAAATGGGACAAGAGAATAATGTTAAACCAGGAAGAACAACTTTTCTCCCAACCTGAGCACTCTCTGTCACAATTCTTTGTTCTTGTGAATGTCTTCTCCCTAACAGTTTATAGGGTTCCTCCAAGCAGGGACTATGTCTAACTATCACTGTCTTCCCAGTGCCACTGAAGGCCTAGCACTCAGGGGAGGAAAGGCAGGAGGCAAGCGACTTAGCAAAAAACTTCTTAATTCTTATGTATTCGCTTCCAGAATTCAAATTCTTCCAATCAGTATCAAATGCTGTGAATAGCCTTTTGTTCAAGTTCCTTATGAAAATTAGACACCTCATTCCTAGTAAACATATTCACTACTAATTCATTCATTTTCCAACTAGTATTTAATGAGTTCCTACTAAATGTTAAGAAGGACGCTGGGTTCTAGGGCTACTACAGTGAACAAGACAGACATGGTCCTTGTCATTATTTTGTATTCCAAACTATAAAGCGAGTCTTTAGATCTTATACATGCAATGTTTTCCAAATAAGTTTTGTGGTTAACATGCTCTGCATTTTGAGACAATGCCAGAAGTGTATCCAAAATATGCCTAAATAGGGCATCAGGTGTGGAATGAATAATATTAAATCAACCAAAGATTTGTAGAATCAATGCCAATTACCAAATTACATTGTAGGCTTAATGTCCATTTTCCCTATTACTGTTAGTCCCATAAAGTCAGGGTCTATGTATTTTGTCCTGTTGTTCACTGCTGTAATTTTAGAAAAATGGTGTGCCGTATACAGTTGTCAAAAGAATGTTTAAGTATTCAAGGTTCACAATTGCCCCCTAGAATATGGGAATGAATGAAATTATTTTATAATTCAAGGCAGATTTTACAAGTACTTAACACAATATAAAGTTACCACACTATCCTGCACATGCATTTCTTTCTCACCATAAGTGTGATATTATGTTGGGAAAACCTAACCCATAGAGACAGTATATAGCACAAGACAGGCCATCTGCCTGAACTTATTACCTAATTAGCAATGGAACAAGTACTCTTGCCCTACCTTCCACTTAAGGAAGAAGTTGCCCAATTTTTAAAGATGTGTAAAAAAAATTAAATATAAGATTTTTCATAATCCAGTTAGGAAAAGGTAAGTTCTCACTGACCTCCATATTTCTATTTAGAACGTTCCATTGGAATAGTGTTTAAACATCTAAAAGTTTACCCAAGGCCATAAGTCTGGCACAAAATTAAAATAGTGTTTTCACAAACTGCCAAGTAACTTGAAGCAGAAAGAGTAAGAATATTTTATTTTATTACAAATAAACATTTCACAAAGATTAATTGGAAATGTGTACATGCTATTAAGCAGAACAGAGAACAATGAACAAATAAGGTACCGGGATCTACAAAGTTCCTTTAAAATCCCATCCATTTTCTCTTACACATAGGAATGCAACACATATCAGCTGAACTGGAAGCACTATCAGAAGTGCTTGCCAAACGTGTGTAATGCTGTAGTAGTAAAGTACAGTTTTCCAATATGAGATTGTGTCTGTCAGATTTTTAAAAAGCCTTTAAAAATATGATATGCACAAGCTTGCCCTGAGGGAAAAACAAGAGGGAATACAGATTACAAAAGCTTTGTATGTTTCCCACAATACCAATTTGAAATTGGAAAAGAGTAAATAGTTGTGGAAAAAACTGAATGAGCGTAATACTAAAAACTCAGTGCACTCACAATGACCTGATGGAAAATTTGAAGCACCTTTTCTCTAGCCTTCTTATATCATAATATGAACTATATGAATTATATAGGCCTTGATATTCAGAAATTTAAGAAAAGTTCAAGTTTTAAGTCAAACTGTCATCAGAAAAAGAAAAATCCAGTATAAAATTTGCTACTATAAGGCCACTGTTTATAGTTCTTTCATGTACAGCGCTATACATTTCAGATACTTTTGTTTTTGTTTTTATTACATAAGTAAAACTTTTAACATACAAATGTCAGGATATAACTTGGTTAAGTTCTCAGTGAAACCATGCTTAGAGAAAAATGCATCAACAAACTGCCCTTGGAGTGACTTTTTTTGAGGCTTTTTGCAAAAGAAACTGTAGTTAATAAAAATTTTAAATTGACTCCTGTAATTTAACAGCAAACGTTAGGTTGTAAAAAAGTTGCAGCATTCCACTACCAAAAATAAAGTTATTTTCTCCAGAAAGTTACAGTATTAGTGCTGTACTGCCAATTTTAACTCCTCCTGTAGTATCGTTTCCATTTGTAACAATTCCAGGCTAGACTTCTGTAGCAACATCTGCATGTCTCTATGGAGAGAAAACAAGAGAAACACAGACTTCAAAGGAGGGGTCAATTATAACAGCGAGTTACAGTTTTGTTCACACTGCAACTTCCAAAATAGTTTAATTTATTTAGTACTATTTGCAATTCCAGATCCCCACAAAGGTATGTGGAAACCCCAAAACACACAGTAAGAACGGACATATCAAAGCAGAAACCAAATGATAAGTCAGTAGGACAAAGAAAACATGTGGCACTGAATAACACTGGTATTAGTAAATTCATGACAATTTGGGTGTTTCAGAGGGGCATCCTCATCATAAAATCAAGACTTAAACCTTAGCCTCTCAAGTACAGAGCCTGATGCAGTGTAGCACACGCACAAGTTCAAGTGAGTACTTCATCTTCTCCATCAATGGTATCTCTAATTCTAAAGTGATATGAACCTTCCAATTAGACTGATAACTGCAGAGAGAGTTATTAGGGGTAGAGGAAGTTTTGTAGATTTTGGAGAGTTACCTACAACATAAAGGTGTAACCCTTCAATAAACCCAAGAAAAGGAATTAACAACAGGACTATGATTAAAGGGTAAGGAATGTGGATTCTATATTGTGATACTATGCAAAATAGCAAATTATCAACCACAAACTGGACATAAGAGCATGCAACTAAGAAAAGGGCAAAAATGGTAGGATGTCATGTTTTTCAAGGACATTACAAAATAGACATTTATTAATATACATATGCTTACCTTTTACTAGGATCTTACATTGTTAAAACTGAAAGAAATGTAAAAGTTGATTTATTTTTCAGTATTTATATTTGTATGGATACCTTTAATTCCAAGCAAAAATAGTGCTAATAGAAAATTCTTATTTTCTTTCATTTTTGGCTAATAAAGTGGTCAAAATACATGCATGTGTATTTTTGTCAACATCACTTTTTAAATACAAGGTACTTCAAAGAGTTCATGAAATGGAATTAAAAGGGGTCTACTGGGAATGGCACTGTGGCATAGCGGGTAAAGCCACCACCTGCAGTGCTGGCACCCCATATGAACTCTGGTTCAAGTCCCGGCTGCTCCTCTTCCAATCCAGCTCTCTGCTGTGGCCTGGGAAAGCAGTAGAAGATGGCCCAAGTGCTTGGGCCCCTGCACCTGTGTGGGAGACCTGGAAGAAGCTCCTGGCTCCTGGCTTCAGATAGGCTCATCTCCGGCTGTTGCTGCCAATTGGGGAGTGAACCAGCGGATGGAGGACCTCTCTCTCTCACTCTCTCTGACTTTCCTTCTCTCTGTGTGTAACTCTTTCAAGTAAATAAATAAATATTTTTTTAAAAAGGGGATTTACTTTGGTGTAAGAATTTTTGAAATGCATACATTTTTTGTAATATGCATTCTCTATGAACTTTGTGAGGACCCCACACAGAGGCAGATTTCATTGCACCTTATTTCTTTACTCATTATACAATATAAAAACCGTAAACCTACCTTCAAATAAAATATGTTACTTACTAACAACTGTGGGGAGCAACTCGGACTAGACTGTTACTGGAATTAAGACTTATTCTATGCATCTGCTCTCCCACAATATGGCGCTGGGAGAGGAGGAAACAGCTTCTACACAGCTGCCTCTCGCCAACTTGAGTGGTGACCTGCGGGAGCTGATCCTGCTCCTGATTGGAGGAGAGCAGCATACTCGGCGTGTGGGTAGCAGAGTTGGGATTGGTGGAAGAGGACTATAAAGGAGGAGAGAGACAACATGCACCAGGAACATCTATCCGAATAACACCTGAGCAGCCCCCGAGAGAGCCGGCCGGCGGTGTGCTGCTCCCCCGTGGAAGTGGGGAAAGTGGCAGGGGGAACCGCCCTTCCACGGAGGTGGAAGGGTCGGTAGCCAACCCGGGAAGAACCAGCAGCAAACCCGGGGAGGGCCGAGCAGACAAAAGAACAGCGCAGGGTCCTGTGTCGTTCCTCCACGAAGACAGGGAGCGACATAATGGTGCCGTGACTCAGATATGAAGCCTAGGCAGGGTCTAGTGTCGTTCCTCCGCGAAGAGGGGGAGCGACAAACAACTTTAAAAGAAACTTCTTAAAATAACCCTAAAAAGTTTTCAACTGAAATGCTTACAAAAATGATCACTTATTTGAGTTACATTTACCTTTGACATAGCCTCTTCCATACCCTCTCTCACACTGATGGCCCCACCCTTCCTATCTGAAAGCCTATTTGAAGCAGAATGGTTAACTAGATTAGATATCTGAGCACTCCTATTGTCTAGGTTTTCATAACTTCACATCTGGGTCACTGCAAATGTCCCCTCATTGGTCTTCCTGTCTCTCATCTGTCTTCCCCAGAATCCTGCCTGCCCAATGATAATCAAGTGACCATTCCAAAGCACCACTCTTTGCTTCTCAGTCTAGGAAGATGTCTTATTGCTACCACATCAAATCCTAAATACTCAGATTTCAAGGCCCTAATTTTCACACCTCGGGTACCCCCAACCCTATAGCCTACTAGCAAACATGGATCTTAGGCTTTAGTCCTTTCTTTCTACATCTTGTTCTCTATGCCTCAGCTTACAAACTACAAACACTGTGAAGAAAGTTTCAATAAAAATACTTAACAGGGGATGGTGCTGTGGCACTGCGGGTTAAGCCGCTGCCTGTGACACACAGGCATTCCATATTAGTGCTGGTTCCAGTCCTGTCTGACTCATTTCTGATCCAGCTCCCTGCTAATGTACCTGGGAAAGCAGCAGAAGATGGCCTAAATACTTGGGCCCCGGCTACCCACGTGGGATATCTAAATGGAGGTACAGCCTCCTGGCCTAGCCCCGGCCACTGCAGCCATGTAAGAAATGAACCAGAGGATGGAAGATCGCTCTGTCATTCCCTCTCTTTCTGTAACTCCTCCTTTCAAATAAATAAAACAATTTTTTTTTCTAAAAAGCACTTGGCATACATCCCCTGACCATTCCTACCATATTTATCTTCTGCTCCACTTCTCCTATCACCTCTGAAACCAAGAGTATATGGTTGTGCAGGAGAGGGTTAACACAGCATGTCTGACTGCTGTACTTGAGGATCCTGCTTACAAGGTTGGCCCTAGGCTGCTATCTGGGAACTTACACTTCAGGAGGGTTCTCACCATTAAGTGACGAGTGCTTAAACTGCTGTGTAAGTAACATGGTTTATGCTGAATACCTGATTTCCTTCTGGAAGTCTAGAATTTGGATATGTGCTTGGCAGGGAGTGACTACATGACCAGCTCCCAGTGAAAGCTCTGGACACTGAGTCTCTAGTAAGCTTCCCAGGCTGGCAACATTTCTCATGTGTTGTCACAACTCCATACTGGAGGAATGAAGCACATTCTATGTGACTGCATTGGGAAAATACACT